AACTGCTTATACTACTGCACCTTGAGCCTCGCGAATAAGGCGTTAAGTGGGCGTGTCCCCAGAAGGAGCGCACCGCCTCTCCCCCATCCCCACGTGGTGATAGCCACCGCCTATTCGCTGGAAGGGACTTGTTTTTTTAACTCGCAATTGGCCGGAGGGGGCGGGTCTTGCCGCGGATTGGCCAGACCTGCGACAAGGGGGCGATGCCTTTGGGCTCTGAGTTTGGCAGGGGTGCCAGTCGGCCGCTGGACGGTCCCTCTCTAAGGCGGCAGGGGGAAAGAAACCCCCGTTACCGACAGTCCCTTCCTCCATCCCCGAGAGCGGCCTGCCCAGGCCTGGCGGCGGCGGCGACACCATGCGCCTCCTGCGGTGTTTGCTGAAGGGCCAGTCGGCGCTCGCCGGGGCTCCCAAGTACGTCGAGCACTTCAGCAAGTTCTCGCCGTCGCCGCTCTCCATGAAGCAGTTCCTGGACTTCGGTGCGTGGAAGGGACGGACGGACGGGACGGGACCGGACGGGGGGGGGGCGCGCAGGGCCAAGGACGGAGCGGGTCCCCCCTCCGAGGCGATTGGAATTTACCTCTCCGGCTCCTCCGCCTTTGCCTTTTCTTCTTGATCTTTGAATGCGCCTCCTCCCCCCCCCCTTCCCGGCAATGGCAACGTGGTGTCTGGGCTGGTAAACAAAATCGTGTCGCAGTGCAATCCGATACGTGTCAGTTCAGGGCGAAGCTCCATAGAATTGCATGGGGCTCCTTCCCAGGCAAGTGGGGTAAAACGAGAACGGGCGCCGCCTGCCTTGTGGTTTTTATAGTTAGCCGCCTTGGGTACTCGGCGTTGAAAGGCTGTCCATGGAGGTGAACCAGCAAAGAAATCAAACCGATCAGGAGCTAGGCTCGTCCTGATTTAAATGGCCACGTCTTTGCCCTCCTCCCTAGCAGAAGCAGCAATGGGATTCCCCAATGCTGGTCTTTAAAAAAGGAAAACAAAAGAGACCCCTGAGCTGGCTTTAAAGATTACTTGGGTTTGATCTTACTCAGAGGTAATGCCCGTTGAGTTGAATGGAACTGACGACGGGGTAAATAGGATTGCAGCCTAACATGGTTGTGGCATTCGGTGTTGTGGACGGGAGCTCACGTTGTTGAATGCGTCTAGTATTATCCTTGGTTAGCAAACAGTTCATATCTGATGTGATGGAGGAAGGGAAGGAATGGGAAATGCAAAGGAGATGAGGCAAGTGGCTGTGAAATGCAAGAGGCGGGAAGTATCTTTGCAAAGCTTGTGGGTCACAAGGTCAATGGCAAAGTTTAAAACAGTAGTTCCTAAACGTTTTGACATCACACTATTAAAATATATTTTTGAGAAACCCTTGTATCTCCCCACTTCTCCATTGCCATCATCCGACCCCAACAAATTTTACTAATACAAAAAGACTTGGAAACAGTGATGTAACAGCAAATCATTGCCACCTTATAGTGAGTATCTGTGGCTGAGTTTGAACCTAGGTCTCCTTAGTCCTGCTATAACACCCTGTTCACAACGCCACTTCGAATTAACTTTGTGGCATGAAGTTTGAAAATCAGCCCTGTTGATCAGAGTTCCATAAGCTTATCTTATTACTTTATCTCTTCTGCCCTCTAGATTGCTGTGGATTTGTGAGAGGGGGAAAAGCTTAATGGTTAACTACTTATTTTGCATATGGATGTTCCAGGTTTATTCCCAAGTATCTTTGGTGAAAAGGAACACATAGCAGAGGATCAGGAAGACCTCTCTCTGATGTCCTGTATGCTGTTTCCTAAATGCTTTGATGAAGATGGTTAGCATCTCAGGTATTTTCCTGTGGGAGTTCAAGTGGTTAGAGTGTTCCTTTTACCTTAGGGAGAGGAAGGTTCAAATTCCTGCTTTGTTGCCAAGCAGACCTTAAGGCGGTCTTTCTCAGCCTAGCCTACCTCACAGGGCTGTTTTGTAGCTAAAGTGTGGGTGAGGAAAGAATGGATGGCAGTCCATAAATATTCCCAGATAAACACACACAGACTCACCTATCCCCCCATCTTCCACAAAGCAGTATTCTAACAAGCCAATTTAGCATGTTCTCATTTTGGCTTTCTGTGTCATCTGGTAAATACATTTCTCTTACATCTTCTTGTAGTACTTCTTTCTTGTCAAAGGTCAGAAAGCAAAAAGGTTGAGTGCACATGCATTTGAGATTATCTGTTCTGTCCTATATCCAGGTGGGCAAAGTGTGGCTCTCTGGTTGTTGTTGAACTACCGTGTTTCCCCGAAAATAAGACAAGGTCTTATATTAATTTTTGCTCCAAAAAAACATTAGGGCTTATTTTCAGGGGAGGTTTTATTTTAAAGTCATGTTATCTTCTTCTGGCTGCTGCCCAATGGTGGAGGGCGGGGTTTCACTTAACTGGGGCTTATTTTTGGGATGGGGCTTATATTATGAGCATCCTGAAAAATCATACTATGGCTTATTTTCAGGTTAGGTCTTATTTTCAGGGAAACAGGGTATGTTTCCCAGCAGCAATAGCCAGTTGAGCCAGTGGGGAGAAATTTTGGGAATTACAGTTCAGGAATATCTGGACAGCTGCAATTTGTCCATCCCTGCCTTAGAGAAATGCACACCTCCCAAAAGGGACAGATTTACAGCATTCCTATACATGGATCTTCATTTGACTAAATAATGCACCTGGCATTCCAGTTCTGTTTAATCCAGGAATGGGGAACCTCTGACCCTCCAGATTTTCTGGGATTACAACTCCCAGTAGTTCCAATCAGAATTGAAAATGATCAGAGATAACAGAGCCTTTGGTTGAACAAAATCTAGAGTGTCACAGGTTCCCCATCTTCTCTCTGCCTGTGGGATATGGAGCCAAGTTAAACTAACCACATTCTGATTAACAGAGCCTTTGGTTGAACAAAATCTGGAGTGTCAGAGTGTCTGCCTGTGGAATATGGAGCCAAGTTAAACTAACCACATTCTGATTCCGTAAAGCCCCTTTGGACAGATTTTGCAACCTGCCTCCTGAGTCAATACCTCTTCCCTCTCCTTCTGCAATTGCGGAGTGGCAGAAATCTGGAAGTCAAAGATCATGAATCCGAAGGAAAAGATTAAAATCAAACAGAAGCAGACATAACTTGTTTGTGGCAGAACCAGATCCGAATCCCTCTCTTGATAGTGAAAGTGTTGCTGCTGCTTTCAGAGTTTGTGCTGTGAATGGGAGGAGGGAGTTTGGGATGTCCTTTGAAGGCTATGAAGGACAACTGGTGCTGATTGGGGGATCCTCAGCGTCAGAGGGATTGAGGAACCTCCCCCAGCCCCAGATGCCCCCCCCTGCAACTGCTTTTCCTGCAATGCTGTGTCTAGAGCATGATAGTCATGTCTGATGCTTGTTCTAATGGTAATGTTAAACCTGTTCCTTATATTGTCGAAAAATAGAAACCTGGAATAGGGACCGTGAGGCTGTTTTCCTGTCTTCCACAGATTATGTGCATGTTTGTCTCACTTAGTTCGGACTGTGTGCTGCTTTGCTTTGCTGGAGAATGGAAGGGTGGCAGGGGAAAACCTAAAGTTGCCCTAGATTTCAGCTTGACTTTTGCATTGGTCTGATCTGGCATTCTCATACTGTTTGTGACATAGACACACACAGCCCGCATCCATATGTTCTATGGCTCTTTTGTCCAAGCTCCGACAAGGATGTAGTCTGCCCCAACACAGTGATCAGCAATATTACCTTGTGGTGCCTTTGCACCCCACCTTTCAGTTATGTTCACGTTGCCATGCCAGCTCCAGTCGTAAATGTATTACATTTCTACTGCTTTTGGAGTTGTAGCCCTGTTAGTCTGTGCAGAATTTCAGACAGAAACTCAAAACAAAGCAAAAGGGGGGAAAAAGCACCTTGAAGACTAGGTGGTGGATGTGTTCTCTCCTGTTTGAATGAGACAGCGTTCCACAACTAGGTGAAGGTTGTTTCAGCTGGCCTGATGGGGATGGTGGGCTTGCCCTCTAGTCTTGTAAGCTGCCCAGAGTAGTGGCCTAGCCACTAGAGGGGTGGGATAAAAATTAAAATAAATAAATAGAGGTGCGATACATCTGGATAAATTGCTAACATCGATAAATTGCTAACATGCGCTGGATTATGGACCACTTTATCTATCTCCTGAGAAACCTATATGTGGGACAGGAAGCAACAGTTAGAACTGGATATGGAACAACTGATTGGTTCAAAATTGGGAAAGGAGTACGACAAGGCCGTATATTGTCGCCCTGCTTATTTAACTTATATGCAGAATACATCGTGCGGAAGGCTGGACTGGAGGAATCCCAAGCCGGAATTAAGATTGCCGGAAGAAATATCAACAACCTCCGATATGCAGATGATACCACTCTGATGGCAGAAAGTGAGGAGGAATTAAAGAACCTTGTAATGAGGGTGAAAGAGGAGAGCGCAAAAAACGGTCTGAAACTCAACATCAAAAAAACTAAGATCATGGCCACTGGTCCCATCACCTCCTGGGAAATAGAAGGGGAAGATATGGAGGCAGTGACAGATTTTACTTTCTTGGGCTCTATGATCACTGCAGATGGAGACAGCAGCCCCGAAATTAAAAGACGCCTGCTTCTTGGGAGGAAAGCAATGACAAACCTTGACAGCATCTTAAAAAGCAGAGACATCACCTTGCCAACAAAAGTCCGAATAGTCAAAGCTATGGTTTTTCCTGTAGTGTTGTATGGAAGTGAGAGCTGGACCATAAAGAAAGCAGACCGCCGAAGAATTGATGCCTTTGAATTGTGGTGCTGGAGGAAGCTCTTGAGAATTCCCTGGACTGCAAGGAGAACAAACCTATCAATTCTAAAGGAAATCAACCCCGAGTGCTCATTGGAAGGACAGATCCTGAAGCTGAGGCTCCAGTACTTTGGCCATCTAATGAGAAGAAAAGACTCCCTGGAAAAGACCCTGATGTTGGGAAAGTGTAATGGCAAGAGGAGAAGGCGACGACCGAGGATGAGATGGCTGGACAGTGTCTGCGAAGCAACCAACATGAACCTGACACAACTCCGGGAGGCAGTAGAAGACAGGAGGGCCTGACGTGCTCTGGTCCATGGGGTCACGAAGAGTCGGACACGACTAAACAACTGAACATAAATGAGGCATCAGGGCTTAGGGGCTACTTAGGAATAATATTGCCTTGCATTCTTTGAGATCAAATGAACTTTTAAAGGTTTGGTTGTTTTTTTCTGGGGATTTTCCCTAGTTGCAATCTAATGCCTTTGTATTTTTTAAGTATTTGGGACCTTTGTAAAATAAGCTGGGTATTTAGGGGAAAACACCTAATTAAAAAAATATTTTGTTTCAGGACAGAGTCTTGGTGTTGGGGAAAAAAGTTATCTAGAGTTCACTGAAGGTTTAAGCTGCTGCAGTTCGGTTCTTGTCCATACTGTCTCCTCCCATGACTGTTCTAGATTCTGGGTTTATTTCTAAGGAAAACAGGATTCATTGAAATATGAGATGACCATTGGTGTGGGTTGCCCAGACACATTTGATTTGACATCCCCCCTTCCCCAGACGCCCTAAATCAAGGGTGTCACAAAGTAAATTATAATCTACTGGTACATCTCTGGGTGTTTGCAGTAGATTGGAAAGAGCCCCTGACTCCAAATAGTTTGACAGTAGCAACGAATTGGGGAATGGGGGAGGAATCTTAGGCACATCTGATCTCATACAACTAGCTCAGCTTTTAGCCTCAGTGTGCCTCATCTAGAGAATGGAATCATCAATTAGTTGCTGCTTATCACACCTCTGTGTAACTCTGATTATCATTAGAGGTATTTTCTTTTGTTTTTGGATGCTTTCACAGGGAGCCCCTCCCAGAATTTGACTGCCAAACATAAACACTAGCCTGAAGTCTCTCCCATATCTCTGGTGAGGACATACAGTATGACACTAGAAATCACGTTACTCATCTTAAGATAGGGCAGTAGGAGTCAGATTTCAGGTGGAGACATAAAAGAATTTCATCAGCGCTAAGGCTAGTTTGTGACCTGAGCATCAGAGCAGGCCATGTTTGAAGCAAGGGTATGTGTATGTGGTGGATGTCATAATGAGCAATATAAAAACTCTCACTGCAGATAACTTGAATCCACCACTCAGCCCCCTTTTGATTTGTAAAAAGATGTCCCCCCTTTTCAAGCTGTCCTCTGTAGCCATAAGGTCTAAACATAGCCGCTTCCACTCTTGGGTCGCCAGATGTTCCTGAACTACAACTCCCGAGAAATCCTGGCTAGCACAGCTAGTGGTGAAGGCTTCTGGGAGTTTTGGTCCCAGAACATAAGGGGACACAAGGTTGGGAACCCTTGGTCTAGCAACTTGCCCTTGAAGATGTAGACTCTGATGTTTGTATGGTGATATTCCATGTATATTATCTTATTCGATGTAGCAAAACCAGCCAGGAATCCTGTGACACTTCAAAAGGCTAACCAATTTAGGGTGGCCTCAAGGTGACATCTATGAGTTTTCATAGATGTCACTTTGAGGTCTCTTTCTTTCTCTGTGTGTTTGAGAATTCCAGTATGCTGCAGCTACAAGGAGCCATTGTTAATTATAGAAGCGTAATTGTTATCAGGTTAGAACCCTAAACATGTTGTCCCAAAGGGAATGGTAAACCATTTTTGAGCACTCCATACCAAGGAAACCCTGGAAAAAGTTGCCATTATAGATGGGCACGAACCTTGCATGTTCCCTTCCCCTACCTCCCCACCCAACCACCCACTCACCCGTAGGAGGGCACTCCTCTCGTCCTCCTCCTATTTGGCTATTCGACCACTCTCTGGCAGGAGTGGGGGGTTTGCCTACCCTGCCTCCTTGTCTGAGTGGTCAATCTGCCAAAGAGGTGGGGCAGGGAAGCCCGTGCTCCTGCTGGAGACTGGTAGAACAGCCAAAGAGGAGGAGGAGAGGAGCGCATGCTGGCTGGTGAGTGGGGATTCCAGCCAGGGATGGGGGTGAAGAAAATGTGTGGCACCTGTGGTGCTGAGGTTCATGCGCATCTCTAGTTGCCACAAATCGGAAGTACTTGGTGGCACATCATAATCACCATTATGGTGGATAATAATATTTCTGCATTGATCTTTGAGAGGGAGTACCCTAGCTGATATAATCCTCCCTCCTGGCCATGTGACATCAACTGATAGCAAGAGCATCTTTTTCTTGTCTTTCATTTTAGGATCCAGCAATGCCTGTGAGAAGACCTCATTCACTTTCCTCCGCCAAGAACTTCCTGTCCGGCTGGCCAACATCATGAAGGAAATCAACCTTCTCCCAGATCGTGTGCTGAGCACTCCCTCAGTTCAACTAGTGCAGAGTTGGTGGGTTCATGTGAACTCTTTATGAACTGATAAAAAAACTACCCTGTTTCCGTGAAAATAAGACCTAACCTGAAAATAAGCCCTAGTATGATTTTTCAGGATGCTCGTAATATAAGTCCTACCCCAAAAATATGCCCCAGTTAAGTGAAACCCCGCCCTCCACCATTGTGCAGCAACCAGAAATGACTTTAAAATAAAATATCCCCTGAAAATAAGCCCTAATGTGTTTTTTTGGAGCAAAAATTAATATAAGACCCTGTCTTATTTTCAGGGAAACATGGTATATAGAATTCTAGAGGTGCACTGGAACTTGTGTATTGTCTAGTTCAGTCCCTTTGCTTTTAAGCCTGGACATTGTATATCCAAAACAGCAAGGGAAATAGGAAAACCTATGTCTTAGCTGAATAACTTTGGGCTGTAGATCAGATCTCTGTTGATGAAATGGTGCTCATGGGAAGGAAAGGAAATTGGGGGGTTGAGGTGTTTTCTTTTTACCTACTAAGAACTGAGATGAAGTGAAATTATCCTTTTTGAAATTAACAGATTTGCAAAGACTGAAGTAAATTGGCAAGAATGAAATGTATGCAAAACCATGTACAGGCATACCTCGGTTTACAAATGCCTCAGTTAACGTAATTTTTGGTTTATGAACCAAAATCCATTGAAAACAATGCCTTGGTTTATGTTTTTTTTCTGGTTTTTTTTGGTTCGTGAAGAAAGTTTCCCCAGGAAGCATTGTGCCTGGAGGTTTGTTGCGGCACCCCCATTCCTATGGTACTGTATTTCGGTTTATGAAATTTCCTCATTTCTTCATTCCTTTTTCTTTCTTTCTTTCTTTCTTTTGTTTTTTTTCTGGTTTTTTTTGGTTCGTGAAGAAAGTTTCCCCAGGAAGCATTGTGCCTGGAGGTTTGTTGCGGCACCCCCATTCCTATGGTATTTTGGTTTAAGAAATTTCCTCCTTTCTTTCTTTCTTTCTTTCTTTCTTTCTTTCTTTCTTTCTTTCTTTCTTTCTTTCTTTCTTTCTTTCTTTCTTTCTTTCTTTCTTTCTTTCTTTCTTTCTTTTTATTGTTATGAAGGAACATTTATTGGTATGAGCTGTTGTGTGCACCCTAAAGTGGTACAGGCGAGGAACAGAGTTTATTACTTTATGTCATGGCCCATGAGGTCCATATTGGCCCCACCCCATTGCTCCAAGAGAGACAGTTTCACAAAGTTCATCATTGATTGATTGGTTGATATCCCACTCCTGTTAGTGCCAAGGATTGGGAAAGCTTTTTTTCATAACTAGAAAATGTGCAAGTATTCATTTTGACCTTAGCAAGGTCAAAACATGTTGGGAAGGGTGTCAGGAAAGACACCAGGGACATAGATGGCTCTCTGAGGTCCCAGGTGAGCATGCTTTAGCTTAAGGTATGGGTACCTTCTGGCTTAGGAGAGGAATGTCTGCCTTCTGGAATGGGAAAAAATTGAGTACAAAGCTGGAAAAGCCATTACATACTTTTGTGTGGAAAGGGGTAGGAAGAAACCTAGCAAAATTGGATTTAGCCTCTAGGACCTGAGGTTCTTCACACCTACTCCAAAATGACTGTTCAGAGTGTGCATCTGTGTTTTGGAATATGATTTTGGAACTAAGAAAATCTTGATCTGAGGCTTCTCTAATTCACACCTACTCCAAAACAATTGACTGTTCAGAGTGTACACCTGTGTTTTGGAGTATGATTTTGGAACTGAGAAAATCTTGATCTGAGGCTTCTCTAATTCACTCTGTCAGAACTTTGCCCCCACATCCACGAAGGACTATTTTATTGAGAATGGAGAGAATGTGAAATGCAGGAAGTTGAAACAGAGTATTAAAAATGTAGACTATTTTGTAGATGCAGTGGTTGAATGCTGGACATAAATCTGGAAATAAACAGATGGACAATGTGAGGGGTTCTAGTCAATGAAAGTTTATGTGCCAATGACTGAAGTCCTGTTGCGCTGTTATGCAAGAAGTGTAACCTTTTGTGGCAAAATGCCATAAGCTAAAAAAATTTCCATAGGCGTTATCACTTGCACACCACGTCACACAACTCAGTGCACATCAGATAAAGTTTTCTTGCTTGCTCGCTGTAACAAATTTAATGCTGGTCCTCCTCTAAAATTCTTGGTTTCTAAGAAATATGTAGCTCAGGACTGGAAAATGTTTACTCCCCCAGATGTTGGATTGAAATTCATTCCATCCTTGCCACCAGTTGCTCTGCCTTAGGGCTGACAGATCCTGCAATGTGGCAACATGTGGATTAGGTCTCTGGCTGCAGAACCAGAGGTTTTGGGAGTTTGATTCCCCACTGTGCCTCTTTGACAGGGATTGAACTGGATGGTCCATAGGGTCCCTCCCAGCTCCCCAGTTCTTAGATAACATCTGGAAAGTTGTACACACTGAGACCTGTTATAGAGCCTGTTGGGTTTCCTAAGCTGAACTGGAAGGGTGAGTGTTGTGTGCTGAAGCACTTGTTTGTGTTATTGACAGTTGAATTGCTTGTTTTCTCCTATGTCTTTGTCTTTTTCTCACTCTTTTTCTTTAGAGTATGCTGGTAGGCCCTGTTAGTCTGAAGTTGCTACGCTTGCTAGTAAGGTTATCATGCAAAAAGTACCATAGGGCTTCTGTCCTTTTAATAGTTGTGTGGAAAATGAAACCTGAACAGGTGCAGCTTGTGTGACAAGCTGTGCCTGATGGATTTCCCCTTCCATGCAACTATTAATGATACCAGCAGCCTTGTCATGTGGCCACTTTATTTCCTAAGGACATGACGAGCACTCACAGATTTTCTTGTCTTTGAAGGAAAAGGGCCCTTCGACTGGACAAGAGACAGGGTCAACCCCTGTGACATTTTTGCTCCTGCATGGAAAGACCAACACTTTCTTCTTTAGCATTAGCAAAACAAAACACCCTGTGACTTTTGTACAAAAAAGCAATCTTGGTTTAAAACCCTCCACACTCTTGTCTGCTGCAAAAAAAAAAACCCCTGCCTTTGTAGACTTTTTTGGGGGGAAAATATGTCCAAATATTAAGAATGTGCAAAAGCTCTTGAAATCTTGATCAGCAGTGAGAAAACTTCAGATTTTTTTTGTTCTCACCAGTGAGAATGGAAGAAGCTAAGATTTACAGCCTCTTCCCTGCTAGCTTTTGGTCTTCGCATTTAAAATTTAGGAAATAGAAGACTAAATCAAACATCGCTCTTCAAGGAGCTGGTCTGAACTTTATGGATTAGAAAAACACACACAAAGCCTTGTGCTCCTCGCACAATACAAAAGCAAGGGCATATGGTACTTTTGTTAAATCACCATTTTTTAAAAAAACACTAGCTTTTGAAGTATACCAGTCTGTCTGTCTGTCTGTCTGTCTGTCTCTTTCTTTCTTTCTTTCCTAGAAAAACACACACAAAGCCTTGTGCTCCTCACACAATACAAAAGCAAGGGCATATGGTACTTTCGTTAAATCACCATTTTTTAAAAAAACAATAGCTTTTGAAGTATACCTGTCTGTCTGTCTGTCTGTCTGTCTCTTTCTTTCTTTCTTTCTTTCTTTCTTTCTTTCTTTCTTTCTTTCTTTCTTTCTTTCTTTCTTTCTTTCTTTCTCAGGCTGTCAGCATCTTTCTTTCTTTCTTTCTTTCTCAGGCTGTCAGCAAAAGTCAGGAATGTAAGTTTGCTGACTGATGAAGACTGGCATATGTCAAAATAATAATAATAATAGTAATAGTAATAGTAAAGGTATTACCTGCCCTTGCTTTGTGGTGTGAACTTTGTCCCACTTCAGGGAAAGCATGTGACTGGTGACTGGCTTGTTGGTCAGTTTAGCTCTTTGAGCTTTTGTCTTCCATTGCATAGGAAATGCAAACCGATTCCTGCTGCAGGGGAAACAGCCAGGTCATTTGTTTAAAAGCCCCATTTCGGTTCTTTTTCTGCACCCCCCACCCCCAAGGTGCCTTTGAAACCTTATTGTTTCTGCTGCCTCCTGCAGGACGACTCCCTTGTTGACTCTTGGCCCCTTTACAGATACTGTACAAATCTAACTCCTTTCCAGGCTACTCTTCCTCAGCCTGATTTTCATGTTGTCTGGGGATGATGGGGATTTAAATTCATCTGGAGAATGCCAGATTGAGGGAACCTTTCGTTGTCTCAATGAAAGCATAGTCACACATAACTGTTTCCATTCAGGAAATGCTTTGGTTATTTTTTCATTCCTACATACCTTGCCATTGAGATTTAGAACCAGACAGGGGTCACACTGGTGATTACTGAAGGTGTACAACACAATTTAATATGGGATTTAGCAGTCTTGCCGATTGAGGCCAAGGTTCTCGTTTGGCAAATAGAATTATCTCCTGGCAGATGTTTTGGCAAATGAAATTGGAAAGCTAGAGCGACCCCTGCCAGGAAAATAGCTGTCCCAGTCAGTAACCTGAAGTACAGGTGCACAACTAGATACAATTGGGGGGTGTGAGCGCACACATACACATACAAGTCTTATGACAAGAGAAAGATTACAGATGTCTTCATTTGTTTCAGGGATAAAGCACTTCATGCCATATCATCCAAGCTGTTGGCACGGCACCACCGGTGCTTTGCGTTAATTCCCCCACTGGCTGCCGGCGCGCACGGCTCCTCCCCTCCCCGTCACACAATCTTCCGTTCCCGACGGGGCAGGGATTCCCTCAGCACTGCCCGTTAGGGACCAGCTGCTGAAGGAGGCAGAGAAGGGAAGTCCCACAACTTAGACAACACAGCACAAAGTGCTTGGTACCATCTGTAATTTGCTATGTTTAAGGGTTCAAAATTTTTGCGAATGTGCTCAAGGTGGTTTACAGTTCTTTTAAAAATTTAGAAAAGGGAGTTGATTTTTTTTAAAAATGAAATTGTTTCTAGTGCCTTGGTTTTCTGTTCAGGATCAGATGTCATACGCATCCTAACCTGGTCACTTGCCTTTACCTCATGGCAAGACATTGTGGGTTTGATGTTTTTTAAGGTAATAATGAGCAAAGGGACTGCATGGGTGAGGACTGGGTGGGTGGGGAGATGCCAAGTTAGGTATTTTGGGGGCATTTACACCTCTCCTGGCCACTCCCTCCTCTGCTACGTGGACCACATTTTAAATACGGGCTGCTGCCCTTCTTCTTCCTTCTGTATTTGCTTCATGTCCTGCTGTCTCTCCCTCTCTATCTACTTCATGAACCTTTTAATATTGGCATTGAAGCACAGGGCTGTACTGACCAGCTCAAAGCTGCAGCTGTCTGCCATTTTGATCTGACCTCTTCCTACCTGGGGGATTGGATGTACATTGAGTCACTCTTGATATTTGTTTGGTTTATTTAATATAATTAGATGTTACTTTAAAAGTGTTCATCAATTTATCATTTTAGTTGTTGTGAGCCTGGATCCTTGATGAGGAGAAAGGCAGCAAATAAATAAATAAATATATACATTTAAAAAATAAATTCTTCTCATATGGCTTCAATCCATTCCCCTCATTGGATTTTGCCTCCAAAAGCTAGCTTTGAACTGGCTGACCTCACTGCCAGTCTTTCATGCTGAGAAAATATATCAAATCACAATGGTGCAGGGCTGCCTTCTTAAGTTGCCTGATGTTGTGCTCTGCTTTTCAGCACACACCAGCATGTGACTGCCATAGTGTTGTTATCTCACTGGCCTTGTGTGTGGTCCTTTGAACTCTGTGAGCTTGGGTCACTGTCCACTGGTCAATGACCCTGGCCATAGAGGGAAGAGCTGCCTGAAACAGTTAATGTCAGGCCATTGTTGAGTCTTTTGAGAATCAGTGACATGAGCACCCTGATAAGGTAGACTTTTATCTTTTTAGGTCACCAAAATCTTTTCTTCCCCTGCAAGCTGGTCTGTTATCACAGCAAAGCTAGGAAGAATGTTTACGAATCACTGCTCTTGTAAATGCTCCTTCTGCTTAGCTTCTTTTTGCTTTTGTAGAATGCATTTAAAAAATAAATATAAAGTTGATAGAGGGAAGCTGTTACAGTGGTGCCTCACTTAATGATTGCCCCACATTACGACAAATCTGCTTTATGACGATCTTCCTGGAATGGATTATCGTCCTTAAGCGAGGCACCACTATATTCCTGTCAGGCAATACCAGAGCGAGGAGATATCCACTCAAACTGAATGTTGGGAGAGTGAGAACAGACAAAAGAAAATATTTATTTACCTGGCAAATCGTTAGTCTGTGGAACTCCTTGCCACAGGATGTGATGATGGCATCTGGCCTAGATGCCTTTAAAAGGGGATTGGACAGATTTCTGGAGGAAAAGTCCATCACAGGTTACAAGTCATGATGAGAATGTATAATTTCCAGGCTTAAAAGGAAGGTACCGCTAAATGCTGGTTGCAGGGGAGGGGTATCAGGAGACAGGTATCTAGTTGTCTCGTGTGCTCCCAGAGGCATCTGGTGGGGCCACTGTGAGATACAGAAAGCTGGACTAAATGGGCCCCTGGCCTGATCTAGCAGAGCTGCTCTTACGTTCTGGGGAGGAGGGTTAGGTCTCTGCATTTTCTAGTGCCTGATAATAAATACTCGTGTCCAGCCAATCCCCCGCCCCTTGGTTGTTATTTTCATTAGTTTTAGGGCCTAATGTTTATTTGATCAATTTGAGAGCTCTTAAGCAAATCAATCAAGTGCATTTGTTAAACAAAAAATTGTGTCCACAGCAAATAAGGCTACAAACTGTTATTCTTCAAAGAAATCTCCTTGGATATTATTTATGGCTGAGGACCATAGCAACAGGGTTATCCTTGGTTGTTCTGGGTTTTTCGGGCTCTTTGGCCGTGTTCTGAAGGTTGTTCTTCCTATTCCTAACGTTTCGCCAGTCTCTGTGGCCGGCATCTTCAGAGGTCAGCACTGAGTGGCGAAACGTTAGGAAGAACAACCTTCAGAACACGGCCAAAGAGCCCGAAAAACCCACACCAACTATTAGATCCTGGCCATGAAAGCCTTCGCGAATATAGGGTTATCCTTATTTGGGGGGAGGGGCAGAGAAGGAAGAATTCGTGGGGGAGAGATCATCACTTCCTAAACCAGAGGGGTGGGAGTCCTTCATTCTAGGAAGAGACATAAAGCCACCCATCCATCCACTGCCCACCTTTTTTAAGCCTTCCCTGCTTCAGGGGTTTCCACTACGGGATACTACAGGCTTGAGAGATGCCTCAGATGCTATGCAGATATAATCCACTAACACTATCTCACAACAGTATCTCCTTACGCAGAAGTAAATTCCACTGTGCCCAATGGGAGTTTGTGCCTAAATGTGTTTATTGCACCATTAATCTTGTGTTTCTGATCATGCTGTCTTCATTTGGTGTGTGTCAGTAATGTCCAGGGAAATTCACATATGGAAAAGTGGGGGTAGGGATGCGATCCTTACATTTAAAAATGACCGAATTATCCCTGTTGTAAGTGGGGTTTGTGTTGTTCTTCAACAACTATGAAAGTGCTGGGATTAACCTAGCATTTCCATGTCTTCTTTTCCTTCCACCAGGTATGTGCAGAGCTTGCTGGACATCATGGTGTTCCTGGATAAAGACCCTGAGGATCAAACAGCACTCGGACAGTGAGTTCAGGTTTCAAGAACTGCTGGTGCCGGCCCACGAAAGGCCCTTGTGTATATGTTGTCTTTGAGAACCGTTTCTTTCCTTTCTTTCTACCTGAGAAATGGCTATAAGTGTGTCATTGTATTTGGAGATAACACTGGCTTGGTTCTGCCAACTGATGCTTCCCCACTTCGAATGTGATCGAATTGATGTTTATTTAATTATTTAATCTCTAAATAACCCACCTTTCTCCTTGTAGAGGGACTTAAGGTGGCTTGCGAAGGTTTGAAAAGACAAACATTAAGAAAATTTTGTTTGTTTGTTTATTTATTTTATTTATATGCCACATTTCTCCCAACAAGGCACCCAAAGCCGCTCACAACATTAAAATTCGCACAACTTAAAAACACAACAAGTTAAGTATTAAAAGATAAATTATAGACTATATGATTTAAAATACAATTTAAAGATTAAAACATGAAAACATAAAAAACACAGTGTTAAGAGCAGTGAAACATATTAATGATTAAAAAGCACAGCATAAGACTTGGCGAAAGCCAGTCAAAACAGAGGAAATAACATTTCTCCCCTTAAAATCCCTTCCTTAGCAGCAGTTTCCATATTAAAAGCCTGCCTGAAAAGGAAGGACGGAAGGGAGTTCCATAACCTGGGAGCAGCTACCAGAAAGGTCCTGTCTTGAGTCCACACCAAGGGACAAAATTATGTGGGAATCCTTAGTTGCTATAATTGGTTTGGGTGGGAAAGAGAATGAGCTTTGAAGGGTGTCGTCTATGCTCTTTCTAGCATATAGGTTCTTAACCTGCCGTCCACAGACCCCCCCTCCCGGGGCTGCAATGTCTTTACAGGAATCTGCAAAAGCTTGAATAAATTTTACAATGATTGTTGTGGGTTTTCTGGGCTGTTTGGCCGTGTTCTTAAGCAGCCTGGGAAACCCACAACAACCATCAGATCCCGGCCGTGAAAGTCTTCAAGAGTACAAATGTTATGATCTTTTGCAATTAAAATGGAAAGAATGAATTAAAGAAAAAGAAACATAAAACAAAATCTTAATTTCTCTTGTTTGTTTGTGTAAAACCTGGCTTTTCTAACCTACTGCCTCAATTAAAGACGAACAGAAGTAAAAATCAGCTATGAAAACAACTGTTTGATTGGAAATGACTGTTTAATATTTCTCTACATGGTGAGAACATGCAAGCGAATGATGCTGAGTGGCTGAGAGACAGCATGTAACATTTCTTGCTACTGCACAGACAAGGCAGAAGCCACGGGAAGAGAGTTGGAATCAGTCAGTGTTAGTGTGAGTGAGTGTTCGGATGGACTTCGTGACTGTGTTTCTTCTTCGATTTCTGCTGATAAAACCATTCATTAATAGATTAGCTTATTTCTCCTTTCTTGCTCACGACCCGGGGCTCAATCCCAGGTAGCTGGCTCAAGGTTGACTCAGCCTTCTGTCCTTCTGAGGTTGGTAAAATGAGTACCCAGCTCGCTGGGGGGGGGGGCAATGTGTAGCCTGCATAATTAACTTGTAAACCTCCCAGAGAGTGCTTGAAGCAGTATGGGGCGGTATATAAGCAGCACGCTTTGCTTTTTGTTTTGCTTCATGAGAAACTTTACATAAATATTTGATGTACTTTAGGGTTATAAATCTTAAGTTCTGTCTTGGTGGTCAGCAGCAACAAAAGCTATTTAAAGGGGATCCGTGGTAAAGAAAAGGTTAAGAACTGCTGCTCTAGCCCATCATTAGATGATGTTGTCATAGTGACCCTTTGAGGGCCCTGGCATGAGACTGGGTTCAGTGGACAAGTGCAGATGAAGAGTAAGGACTGGCCTGTGTGGCTTGCTTCTGAAGCTGTTATCTCCCAGGTTCCCAGGATGTCCTATCAACTTTGGAGGTCAGCCATAATCAAGTAAGTTCTTACACATGTGCTGATTATGACTCCCGTTCCAAAGAGGTGCAGTAACTCCATTTTCCAGTTTATGAAAGCACTAGGCTGAGTGATTTTCAGAAATTGTTGGTTGTTTTTGAAATGGAAATGTAAAACTCAGAATTAGGTATTCGTGACTTAGCTCAACTGGAAGACCATAATGAAGCTCATATTACCAAAGCAGCTTGCAAATGGGCATGATGGGCAAGGAATCCACAGTACTGAAGACTCCTTTCTAACTAGCAGCTTCAAAACCAGAAGCTCAAAGGCAAAGTAAGATTTTACAGTCAGAGTTATTTCTGTGGGGAAAGGGAAACTTTCATGAAGAACTGGGTAGTTCCAGCAGCCCAGCAAGGAGGATCTCTTCAAGTGATTCCTGCACCTACCTTGTAAAACAGGTGAGGACCTTCTGGGTAGGTCATAGTCTCAGGGTTTGATGGAAGAAAAGATCTTGTTATACCTTTAATCACTATTTCCCTTTAACAAGGCATACACTCCCCGTGTGCCTTGTTTACAAGTAGCTCAGCGCTTCTGAGAGGTTTCTGGGAGTGTGGCTGTGCTTCTAAACAAATCTTGTTTTAAAGGGGAGAAAGGATCTTGTTTCAAAGATTTTAATGGTTCAACACCTCTTTTTCTTGGTGAGGAAGTAATAAAACCTTGAGCAGCCAAAGCAGGTGAAGGAGGCATATGAGGCTCTACCTTTGTTGGAGGAGTGAATGTTGAAAGTGACCGTCAGACAAGATGCTGTTGCTGACAATTGCCTGGCCGTGTGTAGGTGTGCTTTTAGAAGACAGATACATGGGAGGAGGGGGAAAGCATGCTGTTTGATACTCTTAATGAAAGTGTTCAACTTCCTCCAGGTTCACAAATGCCCTGGTCACAATCCGTAACCGTCACAATGATGTGGTCCCCACCATGGCGCAAGGTGTGATCGAGTACAAAGAAGCGTATGGGGATGACCCTGTCTCCAACCAGAACATCCAGTACTTCCTGGACCGCTTCTATCTTAGCCGCATCTCCATCCGTATGCTCATCAATCAACACAGTGAGTTATTATTGTAACTGCCTTGGACCTTATTTTCCTCCCTTCCTCTCCCTCCATAGCTTCTGTTAGCACTCGGTTGGAGCTCCAGCACGACTTTGTAGTTACATAATGCGGGTATTATAGTCCTGTCCTGAATTCTTATGTTCCAGCTCTTGGCTTTTGGCTATAATAAATAATATATAACCTCTAACTTGCAGAGTCTGCACACTACATTTTAAAGCGTATTGATAAAACACTACGTTGTGGAGCAAAATCTTCCTTATGTGTGTTTGTGCCAGTAATTGATAGAAATATTCACTTTTGTCTTTGTTAGGACATTAAATAATGTTTACTGTTTAGAAGCATATATAAAATATAAAATAACTCACAGTGCTTAGATATTTGGTATTTGTTATACATATTCTTGACTTATTGTCAGACATATTTTTGTCTAGTAAATAACTACCGTATTTTTCACTCCATAAGACGCACCTTTCCATAAGACGCACCAATTTTTTAGGAGAAGAAAACAGGAAAATATAATCTGTTTTCTTTGCTCCATAAGACGCACAGACTTTCCACCCCCCTGTTTTATGGGGAGAAAGTGCGTCTTATGGTGCGAAAAATACGGTAACTCTCTCATCCTTCTACTATTTGTGAACTTTATCTGGCCCTATTAAATCCTGTCAGCCCTATCACCTATTAGTCCATGTCACGTGCTTGCCCCGTCTGTGTCTGACAGACGTCTCAACTGATAGCTGCCTTCTATATCTGCCTGGCTGATTCCAGACATATTCTGGTTGGTCAGAATGCGATACATATGCATACTGTACTGTGTTATATAATTGTATCTACCAACTTCAGCAATGCCTGCCCCTCTCAACTTGTGTGTGTTTATCACATTGCAGCCTTCTCCAAGCTAGTGTGCTTCCAAAGTGCAGCTCCCAGAAACATAGCTGTCTGGGGGATTCTGGAAGTCGAAATCCAGCACATCTGGAGGGCGGCAGCTTGTCATGTTGTGTCTTTATCGGCCTCTTCCTTTTTCCCTTTAGCTTTGCTTTTTGATGGCAGCACCAACCCAGCCCACCCCAAGCACATCGGCAGCATTGATCCCAACTGCATTGTCTCAGATGTGGTCAGAGGTTAGTGAGCTTCTGCAGTTTGTGTTTACACACACTAGCTTCTCTTTTGCTTCCCTGTTCTCTGGGTTTATCTTTTTGATTCTGTAGGAGCCCCCATGTTTAGAGAGAATGGATAAAAGGCCCCTGGAAAAATTAAGTCTCTTTTAAAATAGTCATTATCTTATTATTCTGCTGTTTCATTTGTATGTTTACATATATGCTTTCCCTGCCTCATTACCTTGGCTAAGTAATTTTTAAAAATGTCCAGCTACTAAAGATTATAATGAAGATATGATGCCAACCACCAGCTTAGAAAAGTTAAAAAGGCAATTTGGCAAATTAATGCCGGAGATATTGATTTCTGGGTTTTGGCCAGTACTAGCAAAGCAGAGGCTCTGGGTTCAAGCTGGGGAAGCAAGGAGTAGCAGAGGGCTAAAAGCTTGATGGTCTGTTTATGGGTAGGTTATGGAAGCAATTTATGGAGATCAGACTGCATAGGCCATTGGTCTGATCCACTATGACTCTTCTTACCATGGGTGTTTTGAGGAGCTTACTGATGAGGGAATACAGGGCACGAAGCCTCTTTCTGCCAAGGATGGAAGATTTAGGGCAATAGCCAACTCCTCTAGCTAGTGGATTGGACCGGTTTAATCTCGGTTTCAGCAGGTGTTCTTTCTGGCACAGAAAGGCAGCCATTTTGTCTGTGGCCAACTATCAGGGCCCTGCTCATATCCAATGTGCTATGGTATTCTCCTTGGGAGACTAGGGATATAGCTTCTCTTGACCCCTGGCTGATAGAACAGACTAGAGTGCCCTGCCCTTAAGCTTTGTAAATCAAAGGCAACTACAAACTGTGGGTGATGTAGTCCAGTCCTGGCTTCTTCTCGTGTTCCAACTCTGCCTGCCTTCTCAAATTGTTTGTAGTTGTCATGTTGCAGCTTTCTCCCAGCTGCTGTCCTTCAGACATGTAGGATTGCAACTCCCAGAAGCATAGCTGGCTGGAGGATTCTGGGAGTTGAATTGCCTCATTAAAAAAAAACACACACACACAGAACAAAAGCAGGTCCATTTATCTTTCAGTTCATGCAGGAAGATGAGGCCTAGAAGAGAAAGTGATAGAAACGGTTCTTTAGTCCGTCCTGTAGCAGCTGCTTTTCCCACTAATTTCTATTAATTACTGCCCCCTAACCCCAGAATAGAGAATGCAGGAAGGAGGAAGCACCATATATCTGTGATACATCACAGTAATTACTGCCCCCTAACCTTAAAATAGATAATGCAGGGAAGAGGAAGCACCATATATCTGTGATACATCAGGTTTTGTGGGTTTTCTTTTTCATTTCTTCCTTTTCCTTATTCCAGATGCTTTTGACATGGCCAAGCTGCTGTGTGACAAATACTACATGGCTTCTCCCAACCTGGAGATACAGGAGGAGAATGGTAAGCTGTGCACTGGCCAGAGTGAAAGCAGAGAGTGAGCAGTCAAAGTTCAGAATAGACTTGCAGATGCACGGGGTAGTGGCCAAGGGACAGTGGGCACTCCCTGGTCAGCTGAGGAACTTGAATAGATAGGAGCAGATTTGTTTCATAGGAACCAGGTGGGCAGAATGTGGTTTGCCCATTGTTCCAAAATTCACAGAAAGAGCCTAGAGTGTCTTGGGAAGACATATCTCTGTGGCCGCTTTGTGTAGTTGAGGCTGCACTTGTGTTCTCATTCATCTGTGTGTGCAAGAGAAAGAGAGGCTGCCTATGTGACAAGTCACCCCCATTTTACCAGAATTTGCCTCACATTTGGTTTCTAGCTTATCCCACCATAACCAGGATCAAGAGTAGTGAAAATGGAGTATACAAGAAGTGTGACATGTTAATCCCATCCTTTCTGCAGGAAACTATGCACAATACACACAATCTGTCCTCCTTCTCTTACAACAGTTGTGGTGGATAAGTCAGATTGAAAGATGGAGACTAGCCCAGGCTCACTCACTGAGCTTCATTGGGTGATGAGAACAGAAAATATTCAATCTGTCCTCCTTCTTTTACAAAAGCTGTGGTGGATAAGTCAGATGGAAAGATGGAAACTAGCCCAGGCTCACTCACTGAGTGAGCGTCATTGGGTGATGAGAACAGAAAATATTCATCTGCAGTAATACTTTAACCTTATTCAGTTATACGGTTGTTTGGCTCGTTGCCAGCAGCCTACTGAGGAAATTCTCTGTCCACAGGAGGGAATTGGAAACCTCATGCTGAAAACCTGTGGCCCAACCAAGGGGTCCAAGCTAGAGGCAGAGTCTGAACCAACGGAGTTTCTTGCGTTGAAGTTCCATCTCCTTATTGTTCACAAAAACACTTAACTTGCCACTTTAAAACTGAGAATGGATGGAATTTCCCCAAATATTTTTCTTAATAAGCGAAGGTTTAATGGAATTTTCCCAAATATTTTAGATTCTTTTTTCTTAATAAGCAAAGGTTTAGTAGTTACCAGTTGTCTTTTTTTCCAACCTTCCCCATGGCTAAAACATGGATAGGGGAAGTGATCCCTTGAGACTGCACGTGGCCCTCAAAGGCTGTTTTTCAAGTCCACAGTCCTCGGCCTTCCTCTTTTGTTAAAAAAAAGCTAGACTACAGCTCCTGAAGGTGGCATTTTGACATTCAAAGAGGCCGTAGCCACCCAGCATTGTTTCATATAACAATTATGTGCAACTAAGTCAATTCTGACTTACGGTGACCCTCTTCAGGATTTTCTAGATAGAGAGTCCTCAGAGGTGGTTCATCATTCATTCCCTTCTTCTGTAGCATCTTTGGACTGTGCAGCTTGCCCAGGGCCACACAGGCTAGTTCCTCTGGGGTAGAAAGTGGGGAACTAACTGACCAACCTCTGGCTCTTCTGGGATGTATAGTGGGGATTGAATTCCCAACTTCTGTTTCTACAGACAGAAACCTAACTCACTGAGCTACCCAGTCAGCTGGCTTTGTTTAATAGCCCCAAATATCCATTTTCTGGATTTGAAAGTGGACTTTCAGCCACTTTAGGTTCTGTTATTGGCGTATTTGGAGACAAGTGCAGCTGCCTGTAGGTTCCAGGGGCAGACAGTTCTCCCTTACCCCTTGTTTAAAACATCACCGCTAAAATATAGAGCCAACTTTCAGCTTCATTCTAGCCTCTGAAGCTTTGCCCTAGATGGAAAGGTTATGCACATATTGGTGTATGAGTGCATGTATACTGTTATAGGTGCATATTCATGTGTCAGAGAGAAAATGTAGGGAATGTTGCACCATTTATGTGTTAGCTGTTAGCTACAGGGTGTTGTTACTGTAGTTAAAGCAAGTTATTTTATTTTTAGCATGATTGTTGGTTACCTTATTTTCACTCAAGAATGGAAGAGAAACAGCCCAATTCTGTTTCAGTCATAAGCATAACATGGGCTTAAAATCTCTTGTGATCATACATTTTTGTTGAACTGTACACTACCCTCCTGTGTTTGGTGGGTAGTAAATGCTTTTTCCCCCTCTGCCTCCCTTTTAGGGAGCTTTTTTTAAAAAAAAAGTAGTCTCCATTATTTAAACCTTTACAGTCCGAGAGGGAATCATGCAACCCCCAACTTTTTTTGACTCTATAATAATATTTTTTAAAAGCTGCCAATAATCAAAAGGCAATCCGTGTCTGAAATTTGGCATGGCAGCTTCCAAGCTGCTTCTAGGCTTTACTGAAAGAGGGATGTGATTTATTTGAGGGCACTTTATTTGAAGGTACTAAGTCAATAACATTCCACATCTTTTCCTCCAGAAATCCATTTTTTTCACTCATTGTTTTAATTAAGTGAGGAAGTCTAGTCTTCAGTGAGAATATTTGTTCCTCATCGTTGGAAACTGTTCCTATTACTTGTCTCAACAGTTAGTGATTGTTTTGGCATCAGAAACATAATAGAGCACAATATCGTTGTTAGTTTCATTCATGTTTTCCCCCCTTTAATTCAGCCATCGGAACAAGACCCCATCTGTGGCCTAGTAAGTAGCCAAGAAATGATATGATGAGCAGCTGCATTGTAGTTAGCATTGCGGCTTGGCAGCTAAAACATTGCTAGAATCCTGGCTTTTTGTTCCCTGGGCTTTCAAATGGAATGATAGGGGGACCTCTGCCTGGAACAGTAGCATGGAATGGGGCATCCAACAGGTGCAGCCTTTCGGATCATTAGGTTGTGGTGGCTGGAGATTCCCTAAATGAATGGAAAATGAGATTGTATTACTTGGTTTTTCATCAAGGCTTGTGCAGTTTGCAGAAGGGGTAAGAGCCACCGACCTCCTCCAGAGGCTGCATGTGGACCCCACCCCTTGCCCTTGCTAAAATTGAGTGGGAGAATGGCAGTCTGGGAGAGGGAACCAGAATCTGCCTTAAATATTTCTCAGAAGCTTCCTACACAGAGTAAATAGCTTGTCAATAAGGTACATGCTGCCCACACACTTTGTTTCAAAGGTAAATCCTGTCTAACTGCAATAGCATGACTCCAGCTGAAGGCCCTGTTAGCAGCACTGTTATCCAGACTCATGTACATCCAGATAGAGGTTAGGAATGATTTAGTGTTATGCCCAATCCAGTGCCTCCAAAACAAAAAGGCTTCACTTTTTCTAACCCAGCTTCACCCAGCCTGTGCCATCTAGAACTCATGAAAGATCTTTAACTCTTCATACCTCACTTCCTCCCCCCATAAAGGCCACAATTCAATCCCCACGGTCATAGGTGATTGAGGGTGTCATTAGTATGGCGATGCCATCTGCTTTATTTGGTTAAATATTTTAATTTTGTTATTTATTGTAGTTCATTTGTATATGCTTTGTTTGCTGTTGTAAACTGCCCAGAATAGTGCATTACACTAATTTGGTGGTATTTAATTAATTAATTAATTAATACTGCACGCATCCTGTACTCCCCACAATGAAATTGGATAGTTCTATTCACATAGAATAGGCTTGCAACTAGTTACTGTATTAGAATGGAGAAAACCTCCTGAATTAAACACTGTATACCTCTGAATACAAGTTCCTGGCCAACTTCCTGCTGGCTACCCTGGGAGCAGAATTCTGGGTCTTCTACAGAATTGGAAGAGTTACCTTTTGGACTACGACTCCCAGTCTACCCCAGCCAGCATCCGTTGGGTCTTTGGTCTGATCCCTCTGATTCTTCATAGAATATGTTTATGGTGATTGCACATCCCTCAGGTGGACCCCTTGCTCCCCAATTCCAGTTCCCAAAAGACTTCTCACTCTCTGAAACATGCTTTGAATCCTCAAGTCAGAAGATGGTATTTGCATATTTTCATAATTGCATTTCTTTTATCACATTTCTATGTTTACCAGTTGCAAGATTTGGAGGTTCTGCAAGAACTGGAATTCTCTGGGGGCATTAGAGGTTTCACTAATGGGGAAAATGGGGGAAGGAAAAAGAGGAGGCGATGGTTTTGTTTTGCAGAGAGGAGGGACTTGAGAGGATGATAGGAATGCAGCTCTGATTGCGTATCTGAACAAGTGAAGGCTGATGTTGTACTGACTAGAGAAGCAGTTTTGAAACCACCGAGATAGTCAGAAATGTGGGGAGTTTCTCGGGCTTATGAGGCCTTAATTGAGTGGTCAGGGACAGTGGTTTCATGAAGCCTGGGGGCACAGCATCAGCGCTGGTGCTTTGATTTGGCATGCATGATGCCATCTTTCTTCAGCTTTTCTATTCCCTTGTAGCTTGGCTGCACGGAGGGTGGGGGAAAGCTTTTCCCACATGCAATATATTTTGGTAATTGATTCCTGCTATGTATTTCAAGGTGGTTTGGTCCTGAAGAGGTAATTCATTAAGATCCACTAGCTTTAGAAAAGAACTGCTCCCTCGAGGTGAATAATGTGAAACCTGGATTATGATATGGATTAAAAGAACTACATGTATTTTAGACCCTCTTTTGGGCACAGCTATCAAAATTTACCACTACACAGCTGTCTGAGGCACCACATCATTTGACTTCAAGGAATTGAAGTATATTCTGTTTCAGGCCTCTCACCAAACATAGAGCATTTAAGCTTTCTGATGTGACCTCAGACATGGCTCTTAAAATCCACCTGGATGAATCACATGTCTGAAAATCAACCCTCAATGCATTTGGGAGCAAAAGAATGGAGCAGGAAGCATGGTGTCTTGCATGTGAGAAGTGAGTAGAATGAGGACAGAAAACGGTTACAGCTTAATCCTGCTCTTAATTATCTCTCTTGTCCTATTTCTAGCTAACCAGCCTGGGCAGCCCATCCACATGGTTTACGTTCCTTCTCATTTGTACCACATGCTCTTTGAGCTGTTCAAGGTAATTCTCCTCTAGAGTGGGGATTTTTCCTCACTTTGTATATTTTGTCCCCCTGTATTCCAGGGGAGAAATCAACAGGGTAACTTTAGATCAAATGTTGGACTGGGAGATCAAGAACCCGGCTCTACACTGATGGGATGTGACCCGTAAATAAAAGCATTGCAGGAAACGGTGGACAAAAGATCACAGCTGCTTGAACAATCTCTGCAAACACATCTTAGGTGTTTGTGGCCCTAGTGGTTTTTTTGCCAAGAGTGAGTGAGTTATTTTAGCTTGCATTCCAGGGAGAGCTGCAGGAAAACTGCTCGGCATATGTGATAGAGACCATCTCTCAGTTTTGACCAAGAAGGACAGAAGGCTGGATAGGGATGGGATTTTTTGGATTTCTTGGGCCACAAACTTGGTAATGTTCTATTCCAGGGGTTCTGCTTGACTTACAAACACCTTACAGTCTAATATCTCATTGTAGCTGGGTAGGGAGAAAGGGCCTAAACTGGAAGGCACTGAGGCTTAGCTAGGCCAACTCCACCAAGCTTCCTGTTCACGTTCCATTAACTTTGAAAACGAGAAGCAATTGAGTGGGTGTCTGATTGGGGCAGAAATGACAGATTATCACAACGCTTTGCTATATGGCTCCTTAAAAGCAGAACTGGAAAGCATGGAGTAGAAATTTCAGGGTAGCATGTTTGGGCTAAGTCTTAAGAGAAACTGGAGTTTGGAAAGTTGTTTCAGAAAATTAATTAGTGTTTGTTCCAAGAAGTACTTGGTTGTCATTATGGTCACAGTTCTTGAAAAAGTAACCTTTAACTTTTATATTTCTGAAATGAAACTATAGAATGTTACCACCAGTTTTTTTTAATGTGGATACTATAAGTTAATGGCCTGTGATGATGACACATTTTGTTCTATCTAGTGTGTTGTCACCATGACAAGGTAGTAGGAGCCACTATATGAATCTTGTGACTTTCTGCCACCCCCTTTTAGCAAGACATCACTCTCCTAACTACAAAAGTATCTAAATAGTTAAGAAATACACTACAGAAATACTGGAAATCTTTCTTGTTAAGTTAGAATCATAGTGTGACTTAGTTAAGCAGTAGTTATTTCAAGTTACCACCAGTTTTTTTAATGTGGATACTATAAGCTACTGGCCTGTGATGATGACACATTTTGTTCTATCTAGTGTGTTGTCACCACGACAAGGTAGTAGGAGCCACTATATGAACCTTGTGACTTTCTGCCACCCGCTTTTAGTAAGACATCACCCTCCTAACTACAAAAGTATCTAATTAGTTAAGAAATACACTACAGAAATACTGGAAATCTTTCTTGTTAAGTTAGAATCATAGTGTGACTTAGTTAAGCAGTAGTTATTTCAAGGAGGAATTGAAAACAACTATTTGTGCCTGTTGACTTTCAGGCTTTAGGAGAAATTTCTGAATACAGTGGTGCCTTGCATAGCGATCACTCCGTATAGTGATGAAATCGCTTAGCGATGCTGTTTTTGCGATCGCAAAAGCGATCGCTTTGCGATGTTCCCTATGGGGAAATTTCGCTTTGCGATGATCGCAGGGAAGCGATCATCGCAAAGCCCCCATTTTCAGCCAGCTGATTGGCGGTTTCAAAATGGCCACCGGGTAAACAAAATGGCCGCCCGCTGTTTTCAGGCACGGATTCCTCGCTTTAGAGGCACCGAAAATGGCGTGCATTAATCGTGTTTTAGCTTAAAGTTACATTTTAAGCCCATAGGAATGCATTAATCGTGTTTTAATGAGTTTCTATGGGCTTTTTATTTTCACTTAGCAATGTTATCGCTTAGAAGCAATTTTTTTCTGCACGAATTAACATCGCTAAGTTTAGCGATGTTATCACTTAGCAGCGATTTTTTCTGCACAAATTAACATTGCTAAGCGAGGCACCACGGTACTAAGATACATTGAACAGTGGAAACGTTCTCTTACTGGGGTTATTTAAGCAGAGGATGGGTAGACATTGAACAGTGGAAACATTCTCTTTTACTGGGGTTATTTAAGCAGAGGATGGGTGGTCATTTGTCCAGATCACTTTCCTTGTATCCTTTTTTGGGAATAGGATGGGGATGTAATTTGCAAATCTTTATGATTCATAATTATAGGCAGCAAACATGACCAAGAGTTGGTTGGGACAAGAAACGCTTGTTCTGTAAGCTGTCTGAGGACAAGACCCTTCTCTTATTCTCCTTGTCTGCCGTTGCCTTCCAGAATGCTATGAGGGCCACTGTTGAAAGCCATGAGTCCAAACCCACATTGCCACCCATCAAGGTGCTGGTGGCCTTGGGACATGAAGACCTTTCCATCAGGGTAAGTGAGGTGGCAGAAGGAGGACACCAGCTAGCAGCTCTAACTATCTGTGCCATGCCCGTCAGTAACAGTTCCCATTTGTGTATAGAAGCAAAGTTCAGTACCTTAGAAGTATTGGACTGATAGCTAACTTCTCACATTTTCTCCCTTACTGTTCAAAATCTAGAACAAGAACCGTAGAAGAGCCATGCCGGCTGAGACCAAAGGCAGATGTAGTCCAGCATTTATTTACATATAAGCTAACTAGCTTCCCCTTCACGCCATAGCTGCTAGAATTCAGAAGCATAGTGATTCTGGTGCTGTGCAAAATATATAGCCCATCCCAATTAGTAACTGTGATATCTTCATCAGCAGTAATTTGTCCACTCCCTTTATAAAACCATATGTGTCAGCAGCCAGTAAGAGGTGACATTGGTACCAAGTTGACTTTGCGTTGAGGACAGCCACCCAGCCATGCTTTGGAAGGCCATAGCAATGTTGGGGGGGCGGGGAAAGCAGGGAGGGGGGGATAAAGGAGGTCCCAGGTACATACACCAATTTATATGGACAGATACAAATGTTGTTGTAATTTCTGGAATGGCAATAAATCTACCAGAAATATCTCCATCTGGGGAAGCAGGGAGGGGGGATAAAGGAGGTCCCAGGTACATAAGCCAATTTATATGGACAAATACAAATGTTGTAATTTCTGGAATGGCAATAAATCTACCAGAAATATCTCCATCTTGGTTAAGACTAACCAAGTGATGTATGTAACTGCTTGGTTTGCCATTCAGGTGCTCATTACTGGTGGACGACTTCCAATGCTTCCCCCGCTTTTTTATTTTTGTTTCCTTTCTATTTATAGTGATTTATTTTTAAATCAGACTTGGATCAGACAGCCATTTAGATTCAGGACTGTCCTTAAAAAGGACACCAAGATAGACCAGATATTCCCAGCTGTCAGAACAAAAGGCTGTACTAGATAAAGGCTATCCTTCCATAAAAGACAACATGGCCACTCAGCTCATATCTCCTATCTACTGATGGTGTTTTATTTTTATTCAATCTTGGAGCAGATGAGTGACCGAGGAGGCGGGGTCCCTCTCCGCAAGATTGAACGACTCTTCAGCTACATGTATTCGACAGCTCCTAAACCAGAGTTGGGCAGTGGGGGGACTCCCTTGGTATGTATAACTGGTCTAGAGGTGTGGTGGGGGGAATGGGTCAGACTGCTTCAAATCACAACCACTACTTTAAAAAATATTTCTACAAGGAGAAAGGGAAGGGCACAACATTTGGCTTCAAACACGTTTACATATGGAATATGAATTTTTAATTTATTTTTATTTTTTTGCATGTGGGGGGGAGGGTACACATGGCCAGCCAAAATTAGAATTATTTTGTGTTTTATTTATTATTGTGTTTTAATGTTTGAGTGTTTTAAAATGAGCAGTGGATCCGGTCACAAATTATACCATGTTGCATCTCTTTTAGCTCACGGTGCCTTTTATGATTGCTGAAGAAGTGCTAGTTAGATGCAAGTGAAGAGTTAAATGTCATTGGGAGGAATGCATATAACATAATGGCTGAAATCCTGTTGGTGTGCACATAAGGTTTACATAGCGCAACAGGGTGGATTGTGACTACTTATGAGCTGCTGAGGGGCATTTCAGTTGGACAATTAAGCATGTCAGTTAGCCATGGCAAGTTACACAGACACCAACAGGATTCTGGCCAGCACAGCATTATGCTAGCAGACTGAAATCTCCATTCATGCAGTTTTGCAACTGGTTGCACTAGTTCTACAAGTGGTTATGCAAAACTATCAGACATCCTCCTTGTGCTAATTATGAATACACACAACTGCTAGTGCCCAGACATTGTTGAATAAGGATGTGCCATTTGTTCTTTGTGTTCTGTTTTTGGACTTCAGCTCCCATACCAGTTAGGCATCCTTCAGTCTTGAAAGACTGTGGTAATGTGCTCTGTATGGAGGACTTGGAACAGCATCTAGTGTGGCTGAGAAGGCCAATCCTTTCCACACTGAAAACAAATGTAATCTGTTCCCTGTCTAATTCTCCAAGAATTCCCAGGTAGAACTTTGGGAGTTTCAAACTACCTATAGACGCCTACATTCCATTCACCTGGACCAAAGCCTATCTCAAATCATGTGTCATTCTCCAAGAATTCCCTGGTATAACTCTGGGAGTTTCAAACCACAGACCCACACCTATAGACACCTACAGTCCATTCAGCTGGACCAAAGCCTATCTCAAATCATGTGTCCTGTTAACAGTGTGGAAAAAGGAAAGCTGCCATAGGACTTCCTGAGAGACATACAGTCATGTGGAAAAGAAAGTACACTCTCTTTGTCCTTCTTGGTCAAACTTCTATCAGGATAGAATAAAAATCATCTGGTCCTTAGCAGGTTTGAAAATTAGGTAAATACAACCTCAGATGACACATGACATATTATACCGTGTTGTGATTTATTTAACAAAAATAAAGCCAAAATAGAGGAGCCACCTTATGATTCATTAGCTTGTAGAAACACCTTTGGCCGCAATAATTTGACTTAGCCATTTTCTGTATGATTTTATAAGTCTCTCACATCATTGTGGATGAGTTTTGGCGCAATAATTTGAAGTAGCCATTTTCTGTATGATTTTATAGGTCTCTCACATCATTGTGGATGAGTTTTGGCCCGCTCTTTACAATGTTGCTCCTGCTCATTGAAGTTTGCAGGCATTTGTTTATGTGCAGGTCCTTTAAGGTCCAGCCACAGCATTTCAGTTGGGTTGAAATCTGGACTTTGACTGGGCCATTGCAACACCTTGATCCTTTTCTTTTTCAGCCATTCTATTGTAAATTTGCTGGTGTGCTTGGGATCATTGTCCTGTTGCATGACCCAATAATGGCCGGACTTCAGCTGTTGGCCTCATATTTGACTCTAAAATACTTTTGTATACAGAGGAGTTGATGGTTGACTCAATGGCTTCAAGGTACCCAGGTCCTGTGGCTGCAAAACAAGCCCAGATCATCATCCCTCCACCACAGTGCTTGACAGTTGGTATGAGGTATTTGTGCTGATATGCTGTGTTGGGTTTTCACCAAACGTGGTGCTGTGCAGTATGGTCAAACATCTCCACTTGGGTCTCATCTGTCCAAAGGACATCCCAGAGTTTGTCCGGATGTAACTTTGCAAACCTAAGCCATGCTGCCATGTTCCTTTTATTTATTTATTTACAATATTTATTTATTTATTTATTTATTTTATTTACAATATTTTTTAGCCGCACCATTACCAGTGGCTTCTGAGCGGTGTACAACATTAAAACTTAAAAACATTTTAAAAGACAATATAAAATATCAT